GTGCGCCCGCGCGGCCATGGACGAGTGCACGGACGAGGGCGGCCGGCCGCAGCGCTGCATGCCGGAGTTCGTCAACGCCGCCTTCAACGTGACCGTGGTGGCCACCAACACGTGCGGGACTCCGCCCGAGGAGTACTGTGTGCAGACCGGGGTGACCGGGGTCACCAAGTCCTGTCACCTGTGCGACGCCGGGCAGCCCCACCTGCAGCACGGGGCAGCCTTCCTGACCGACTACAACAACCAGGCCGACACCACCTGGTGGCAAAGCCAGACCATGCTGGCCGGGGTGCAGTACCCCAACTCCATCAACCTCACGCTGCACCTGGGTAAGCGGTGACAGCCCTGTCCCTTACTACTGCTCGCCAACGGTCCAGCGCCAAGGCCGTCTTCACCCCTGGCCCAGCCCGCCGGGCCCAAACAGCCGTGTGCTGGCTCTCTGCTCCCCCGCATGGGCCACGCAGAAAGTCCCCTCTCCAACTTCCAAATTAGATCTAGCACTTAACATCCCGCGAGGGCCAAGATGCTTCGCGCCAGCATCTCTCTGTCTGCTTTTCTGTTCTTTCTAACTTAACCGGGTTCTCGCTCCCTTGATTATTCGATATTTCGGCAGTTTTCGTCCCTCTTTTCGGAAGCGTTCATCAGAAACCGCCATCCGCGCTCTTCTCTCTGCTAGCAGGCCCATCACAGCGTATTCGTGGATCAGCGACAAGAGGGTCCACCTTAAGCAGTTCCCTTGTTGAAAAGTCTTCCAGGGTTGAGGGTGATTGCTGTCTGCTCTGTTGAATAAGCTGGAGAGGAAAGGTCCAAGACTGGGGAATTTGAGGGGAGCAAATGCCTTTACTACCGGTAATGTCTACGTGTAATTAAAATAGAAATTCACGTTTAAGGTTATTGTTCTTTACAGTCGTTCAGTCTTAATTAAGAGCCACCCAGCCCTTTCACCGGTAATCCTGGTACAGAGGAAACAAAAGGAAGCGTCTGCACTCACTGTAATTGCTGGGCCCAGGTTTGTCCCTGGGTAAAAAGGCACTCCTCGCTGTCTTCCTTTCGCTTTGATTCAAAGCAAGTGTGGAAACTTGTGTAAGTGACCTTTTTTTACAAATCAGGAAAGGGATATACGGAAAACACCATTGCTGGGGGTGGGAGGGCGTAGACAAGGATGTTCGTGTTTATCTTAAAGTATCAAACATGCTGTTTGATCTAGGTAAGTTTTTCTTTATCATTGAAATATAAAACAAACATTATAGTTAACAGAGTAACTGTAGTTAACAGAGTAACGTGTGTGAGAACCTGCATTTGATTTGTAGAGCTTCAAACCCCATTGCATTGAAAGACTTGATTTTACGGTGGCTGGTAGTAATGGACTTCCAGAGAGCGCGGAGCACCAACCCATTCTTCTGTCAAAGCTGGGTCATTCTGTAAGGCTAATGACATTATTTGGGGGCCTTTGACAGGAACATTTTGAAGGCAAATGGTTCTTTTGGTCATGGTTTTGTATTTTTTCTTTCCATTGCTCTCTGGTACACTGAACTTTATAGAAAGTGTCAAGATGCCAGAGAAAGAATATGACTTACAAAAAAACCTTTGAAAAATGGAGTTAAATTACTGTGTGTGGAGTATGTTTTAGAAAAGCAGTATTTAGTAACTTTGTAGTAAATGCCATTTTATTTGTAGACAAATCATTAGGAAGATTAAACTTTTTGAACATAAGTTCATAAAGTGAAACTCTGAGACTCCTGCTTTTCAGAGATGAAGGAAGTAAACTGTACTGAGTTCAGTTTTTCGAAGGTATTGGGAACATACAGAACTAGCTGTATCTTGCAACGGGTGCCTTTCTAAAGACTGCAAGACACCTAGGTCTTCTAAGACAGCGAGGATGCTCTTTAGCTATTTTCTCCTAAATGTTACCCTTTTAAACTTGGCCAAGATTATTTTTGAGACTTATATCCAACTATTTTTGTTTAAATTTTCACGTGTTAAAGTTTCTGTGTTGAATTTTGAATGCCCGCAAAGTCTTATTTTATCTATTTTCACATATTAAACATTTCAAAGTAAAGGCATCACCTTGATGTCTCAAAGTGCCCTAGAGTCAATTGAAAATTTCTGAACAAGAATCTCTTATGTACGTAAAGGTGGGGCTGTCAGTCTTGGCCTTCTGAATTTTCTCCTGTGGGTACTATGTAGCAAAAGGTTATTTCAGATGATTATAGAGGTAGATTACTCAACAGTTGCTCCTCTGTTACAAAGATAATGCCCTGGGTTAGACAGTATCAGTCAAGTTAGGTTGCTATTGCTGGGAGGTAGATACAGTAACTCTGGATCCTGGTGATTAAAAGGTCAAAAGAGATTTTAGAGTTCACCTACTTAGGACTCTACCATGACTTTTCAGTCTAAAAATATCATATGTTTGGACTTGTTTTTGCTGAAAATTTCTTCAGTTTGTGATAATATTTTTGCTAATGAGGTTCATAAACTATTGGTTTAAAACAAGTTAAATTATTTAAAATAGTTTCATATTAGTATTATGATTGACTGTAAAAACATTTACCTTAAACTTTTTAGATAGACAATTTTAGAAAACTTGACTAGAACTCACTGTACTTGTTCTTGGATGAGAAATGATGTCCTGGAGGAAATTGTGTGTGATGGGGAAGGGGAAGGAGATTCCTGTAGCCTCGATGTCTCAGTGTCCCCCGCCCCCATGTGCACTGTCTTTTTAAATGATAAGGAGATATGTATATATACACTGGCTTTATGATGTTCAGCATATTCACTCCCTGACTCCAGTTCCTCCATGGGCTCTAGCTAACTAATTATTTCCCATGAATTCAAGTACCATGACTGTTTGTGCATCTATTAAATCTCCCATCCAGTTCAAATTTCACATACCCTTAAACAAGTGATGCATATTGTGCTCTGGCCTCACAGAGCATGTGAAACTCGAAGTGAGCAGTGTGAAAGAACTAGGTCTAGCCACTACTTTTCCAGGCTTCCTTTTAATGTTGAACTTTAAATGCAGTAAACTTTAAAATAAGCAAAGTCAGATTGTACTTAAGTAGTCACAAGAAACATACATGTTTTGGCACAGACCATAAGTCATTTTCTTTATTATAAAAATAAAACATACCATGGCAAATTAAAACAGTAAGTGTAATGACTAGTGAGTCTCTTCATCTCCAGTTACTAAGTTGCCCTGGAGACCACCTGCACAATTTCTTATGTAATGCTCCGGAAACTTTTAATGCCCACGCATGTGTATATAAAATTACATGATCATTTTAACTGGTACCTTTTGGGTGGGCTGAGGAACATTTTAACAGACAGCAAGTACAAATTAGATCATTGTACAATTATCATAACTTGTACAAAAGCCAGGAAAACCAGCACTGATTCTGAAAAGCATCCACGTTTTAAGCAGCATGTATAGTAATCCAGGGTGCAGGGTGCAGGGTGCAGTGTATCCTCAGATAAAATGCGTTTAAGTTGCTGTGGGAACCAGAACTGCATTTTCTGCCTATTATGGAGAGAAATCTCAGCCAGGCACCCTTTTTCTAAAAAGTTAATTATTTTGTGTTCAAATTCTGAATCTTCTGACTGCTGTATGGATTTTCTCATTGCTGTTTAAGTTTGGCTTTTGTGTTTTTTTATAATAAGTCATAATAGGTTTTATCAGTATCAGTGGGGTAGTTGATAGTAAGATTGTAGCTGCGGATTTCACTTTTATTAAGCAGCCCTTCTAATTAACTTGATAGTCATTATGGATGGAAACTTGGCAGACTGGGTCTTGAGCTTGGAGGAAGGTAGCTTTCCTTTTTACTAAAAACAATTAGATTAAGGGAGTGCTGACTTATAAAACCAACTCTATCAGAGTTTATGGAACTCCTAAAATTTACACCAACATCAGAATAGATTCCAAGCTCCTTATAAGGTAGAACAATAATGATAAAAGATACTTTACAGCTATATCTAAATATCCTTTTTGCATGTCTAAATTAGAATAATTGATATGTAAGGATATTACATTTTATTCTGGTATAATATTTATTTGGTCCTCTGCTGTATATTTAACATGAAAGAGACAGCAATTTTTTTCCCCCAGGAAAGTCTTCGCAAGGTAGGCTCTGTGTCAGGGAATAGTTCACTCGGGTGATGTCACTGTGGTATTCACGCACCCCGAGGGGACACTATTTTCGGTTGTCTCACAAAGGCCTGATTTACATTTTGCAGGTTTCAACTTGCGAGTGAAAGAACACTTCTCTAATGGCCAGCGGTCGTTGAATACAGTTTTATAAAGTCGCTGTTTTCCGGTTCTACAATTCACTGCTTTTTCCTGTAAATACCTTCTCCATGTTTCTAAAGCATGCGGAACAACACTTTGCACATTAAGAGAGAAGTTGGAACTATAAAGCATCCCCTCATCCCAATAATTTTGTCATTGGCTGCATTCGTGGGAGGGATATGGTTTGACTATTTCAATTCTAAATCCTTTTAGGAAGTTGGATGTGCCTTTTGCTGGGCACATCTTCCCCCGTGCATACATTCTCATGTTACTGCCAAATATTCTGCTAACATTTTTAAAATACCCACTAAATGCATAGCATAGTGCCTGGTAGAAAGATGTAGAAGGTTGAAGTTCCCATCTTCAGAAGTTTATACTCTATTAGACAGAATCTTTATACTTAGTTGTAATGCCATTACAGTAATAAATCAGGAATGCAGTACCTTTATGATATTTCACAGTTTCTACAGCCTCCGGTTTGTTACTGATTAGATTTTCACAGCACAGGACAGGTAAATACAAAGATCTCAAGGAGGTGATTTGCCAGGAGTCACCGTGGAGGTAGGTTTTGACTCAGTCTAAAGCACTAGGCCCTGAAACTCTTAGTTTCTCTAACAAATCTCAAAAAAATGATTTCTACTTTATTCCAGGGCAACTTTAAAATACAAGTTCACGTACACACTGATTCAGAGATACCAGACTCCCTTGGTTTTTCTCCTAGTCTGTCTGTTCCTTTCACTTAGGTTTCACTGGAGTCTTTTTTGCATGCTACTCACTCTCCCCGAATGACCTCCTCTTAATCTCAAGGCTTCATACTGTTTGCAAATCAGTAAATTACAAATTTATATCTCCAGGCCAGCTCTTTCTCCAGACCAAAAGACTTATTAGACATGGTCAATTTGGGATGTCCAGAGGCCATGTCCAAAACTAAATTCATCCTTTATCATCATCTTACGCAACTCAAAGCCATATCTTAATGAATGGCACTAATGTGTTACTATGAGACTTTTGATCAGTCTTTTGCCAAGTGTCCCATGGATGATAACC